GTCAAGCATTTCTCACGTTTATTGGCCATTTGAATTTCTTTCTTTCTTTCCCTCCCTCCCTTCCTTCCTTCCAAAATTGGCCTGTTTTGTCTCCTTTGCCAATTTTTTTTATTACGTTGTTCTTCCTAGTTCATTTGTTCACACGCCTGTCTGCCTCATCGGTCTGAGGGCTCCGTCGAGACAGGGACTGTATCTCATTTCTTTCTCTATCCCTATTCTAGCACAGGGTCTGGTATTTAGCTCATGAAGTGTCTGTTAAAATGATCTTAATTCGTTCTTATTCTGTTTTACGGATGAAGAGTGTAAAACGCAGAGGTTGAGTAATTCACAGTCACACTGCTGCTAGATGGTAGAATTGAGAATGTAACCCAGGCCTTCTGATTGTAAACCATAGTAGATTTACTCGAATTGTCCTCTATCCCTTCCAGAGATGTTTGCCAGGGCTCTGTCTTCTTCTGGATATCAGTGAAGTACTTTAAATGAATTTCAATTTTAGCACAGGGGAAGCTCCGCTGGGCGCATGCGTCCCCTCCTTTTCCGAAGGTAGGAAAGGAGACACTTCCTCTTTTCCTTCCGCTTTGCCTCTTTTGGCCCCGGCGACTCGCCATCGCCGTGCGGAGGCGTTCGTTAGTTGAAGTGATGGCGACTGGGACGCCAGATTCGCAGGCGCGATTCGGTCAGTCGGTGAAGGGGCTTCTCACGGAGAAGGTGAACACCTGTGGTACTGACGTGATCGCGCTCACCAAGCAGGTGCTGAAGGGCTCTCGGAGCTCCGAGGTGAGCTGGGACTTGACTCTCCCGCCCAACACTCAGGGGACTCGCAGTCTTCCATAGCTGTGGGAAGGGGGTCCCGTTGCATCCTGGGAATAGTAGGCTGTGAACTGGCCGCGGAGAACAGGGCTCGTTCGCGGAGAGCGCGCTTTGCATTCTGGGGTGTATAGTCTCTAGTTAGGGTTAGCGGCGCAGAGGGGGAGAACGGTATGGTGGGAATCCGCTTTGAAACCGAGAGAGCCACAGGACAGCGGATGAACTGGTGATCCTGACCAACCCATTTGTTTCTCGGGGTTGTCTTTAGTGAACATTGGTCCCCTTGAGCCCCCACATTCCGCATCGTATTGCCGTCAGCATCCTAGATTCCTTCCACACTTCTGTGCATCACCTGTCTATGGCTTTATTCTTTTCTGATTTGTCTTTCTGGCCACATCCTTGGTTTTCTGTTTCTTAGAGATTAGCTTTCTCCTTTGTTCTGTTTTGTCCCTCTCCATCCTCTGGTTGGTTCCATGAATGTAATTATTTGATGGCTTTTCTCACGAGAAAACTTTATACAGGTTGAGTATTCCTTTTCCGAAATGCTTGGGACCAGAAGGGTTTCGGATTTTGGATTTTTTTGGATTTTGGAATATTTGCATTTACGACATATGTACATATATCTGGTACATAATGAGATATCTTGCGGATGGGATCCAAGTCTAAACACCGAAATTATGTTTTATGTATACCTTATACACATAGCCTGCATGTCATTTTATGCAATATTTTAAGTTAATTTTGTGCATTAAATACATGATCTGTCACATGAAGTCAAGTGTGGAAGTTTTCAATTGTGGCGTCATGTTAGCACTCAGAAAGTTTCGGATTTTGGGTTTTTGGATTAGGATGCTCAACCTTTATATGTACACCCTGTCTGTCTCCTAAAAAAAGACCTATCCATTAAACTCTTAGATATTCACCCAGGACTTGTATATGTTCATAGCACCTTTATTCATGATAGCACCAAACTGGAAAGAACCCAAATGCCCACTGACAAGTGAATGGACAAATGAAATGGGTTCAGTGACCCAGCCATTCCACTCCTAGGTATTTTACCCAAGAGAAAGAAAACATATGTCCATTATTTCGTTAGATAAACCAACAATGCACATAACATATCTAAGATCGCCAGCTTTGCTTTCTTTGAAATGGAAAAACAACACACAAAAATAAAATGGACCATCTTGAATACACCTGTAAAACAATCTGAAAAATGAATCTTTTTAGATTTCTATGAATTTCCCCTGCAGGCTTTTATATTGTCTTGCTCATAATGGACTCAATAGCAGTTTGTCTTAGCTATCAACAAGTGTTTCTGATATTCAACTTAGTTTTCATAGCAGTAGCAACCCTTTCTCTCTCTCTTTCTCTCTCTACTCATATTTCATCAGTTTGCATATTATTTTATTAAGTTCTGTAGTTGCAGTAGCAAGTTGTATTAGTCCGTTTTCTATTATTTATAACAGAATACCTGAAACTGGGTAATGTAAAAAGAAACATAATTTATTTCTTAGTTTTAGAGAACTGGAAGTCCAAGGTCAAGGTAGAACATCTGGTCAGGGCCTTCTTCCTGGTGGCAACTGTACAGAGTCCTATGGCAATAGGGGGAGTCACATGGTGAGGGCTGAGCAAGAGCGCTCTAACATGCTTTCTCCAGTCCTTATAAAGTGACAAATGCCATTCCTGTGATAACCCACTTATCATTAGCCCATTAATCTATGAGTGGATTAATCTGTTAATGAGGGCATAGCCCTCATGATCCAATCACCTCCCAAAGGCCCCACCTTTCAAATACCGTAGTCTGATTTCCCACCCTCTTAACACTATTACAGTGAGGATCAAGATTCAATGTGTTTTGGGGGGACATTCAAATGATAGAATAAGCATAATATGTCCACAAGTCTTTGGACTTGTATATGAATGTTCATAGCAGCTTTACTCATATTAGTTTGGGGCCCAGTAGGCTTGTCTTTGCAGAATAGGCTTTAATATTATGTCCTTAGCTTTTACTGGTAGTGGCTACAGGAAACAACTGTATGAGGAAGGTGATTGCGTTTACCATAACACTAGTTGAAGTTATTTTATTTT